ACTGTGAGTTTTAACTGAAAGGATCATAATGAATATCACAAATGTGTCATATTTTATACTTTCTGCTTACTTTGACACTGGAGTTCTAACATATTTGTTTTTCTTCATGGTCTTGTTTGTGTATGTACTTATTATCTGTTGTAATGTTGTTCTGATCGTGGTTATCTGTGTTCACAGGAGTCTACATGAACCTATGTACATGTTTCTGTGCAGCCTGTTTGTAACTGAGCTGTATGGAAGTTCAGGCTTGTTTCCATTCCTGCTGGTTCAGATTCTGCCAGATGTTCACACCGTTTCTGTTCCACTTTGTTTCCTGCAGGTCTTCTGTCTTTATTCATATGGAAGTGTAGAGTTTTTCACTCTTGCAGTCATGTCTTATGACAGATATGTTGCCATTTGTTTTCCTTTGCGGTACAACACCCTGATGACAACTAATAAGATTGTTGGATTTGTTGTAGTCGTATGGTGTTATCCTTTTTTTACTGTTGTGATTATGATATCAATGACTGCACGTTTGCAGCTGTGTGGAAATATTATTAATAAAATTTATTGTGATAATCCCTCTATCCTTAAGCTGGCCTGCTCTAACATCACAATTAATACTGTTTATGGGCTTTTTAACATGGTTCAGTTGTTGTTTCTCCCTGCAATGTTGATATTTTTCACGTACATGAGCATAATCAAAGTGTGCATTTCTGGATCCAAGCAGACCCGGCAGAAAGCTGTCAGTACCTTCACACCCCATTTAATTTCTCTGTTCAACTTCTTTTTTGGTTGTTTCTTGGAGATCTTAGGAAACAAACTGAACACGAGCAGTGATGAGGGGGTGCTTCGGGTTCTAGGAAGTTCTGCAGTGGCTTATCTTTACACCTGTCAAACACTCTTTAACCCTGTGTTATATGGACTAAAAACCTCTAAAATACGTAGTTCTTTTAAGAGTCTTGTTGATAAAATTTTATATCACTCTTAAATTACCACCAATGAAAAGTCTGTGATAATAGCTTGATAAGATGTACAATAGTTTAAAACAAACTACCAGTCTTTGTTCTTTGCAGCGTTTACAGAAGTGGTACATGATGAGTGATTCTGATTTCATGAATAATTTACTATAGTATTGATTATTAATGATAATGTGAACCTTATAATCTAATTATATGAAATGTCACATATTCAGAAATCATTGACCCTTTTTAAAAGTTTTTCTTTGTTTTGTGGTGTAAAGTAAAATACTGAGTAAAAATGTAAAAAATAGATATTGATTTTCCTTTGTTGTTTTTGGGTGTTCGTGACGGACTCATGACTTGTCCAGGGTATAACTCTCCTCTCGAACAGTGACTGTAGGAAGTAGAAACCTGCTTCCCTGCAACGCTGCATGAAACAGATGTTAAATAAAATGGCAGAATAGATATTTTCAAGTATTAATAGATTTGTTCAAACAAAAAAAACACACAATTATAATCACTAAGTCAGTCATTTCCTTGCAATCAACATAACTTCATATCATTATACTGTACAATATTGTTAAAGGCTATCATAATGTTTATTTTTTTTATAATACCATGTTATTTTTTTCCCAAGGGATCTCCAACTAGTTGGACAAATAAACCTTATTTTACAGACATTATAAAAACAGGAAGTTAAGGCTGTAGCCCTGTGAGGATTCCAGTTTCTGGTCCACTACCTGTGTGGTACCCCTAAAACAGCGATTACCACATTTAAGTGGTAAATTGTGAAAGATTAACAGTAATAATTTTGGTTAATATACCAAATAATTTGTTAAGTTATTGGCACATCTAGGCTTGAAGCCAGGGTGGAAACTTTGTTATGCATTTGTTGTTTCAAGGATCTGTAAAGGGGGAGGCCCGTGTACAATGTTCCTCTGACAAACTGGAGGGAAACACAATGCATCCTGTCCTCATTGCTCTGTTTTCACCTACTTCATACAGGTCAGAATATGTGCATAAATCCCCAAATCCTGCTTTATGAAGATAATAGTGAAGTTTATGTTAATTTTACATCGATGTATTATAAGTTGTATAAGAAAAAAGGGGTTTAATTGGCCTGAGAGGTTCCCGAGCAGCGGCCATTTTGTTTCAGACTACACCAGTTTAATTGAAAACATTGTTTTTTGCTGCAATGAGCCAGCCCCGATGTCAAGGGAAAATGGGAATATAGTTTTCATTCATGCAACCTTTATTTAGAC